ACTGCCCAAAGCCCAGCGGCTCTGCCTTTAAAATGACTAAAAAGCCTGTATGGGTGGAGCACTGGCCCTTAACTGAAGAAAAACTGCAGGCGCTTGAGCACCTAGGAAAAGAACAGTTAGATGCTGATCCACTTCTGGACAGCGTAAGAGTTTGTGTGGCAAAGGGAGGCGGTTGTTCCACAGGCTCAGAAACAACCCAGGATGCTACAGCCCTGTTCCTAGCTGTGCTGTCTGTGGTAGCTGTGCAGGTAGCCAGGTAACAGGGGCCAACTGCACGTATCAGGCCTATATCTCTAACCCTCCAGTTAACATAGGAGTAAGTTGGGTAGATGGATATCCTTGTGATAGTTAATGAATCTTCTTGGCCACCTGGTTTTTATGACAACCAATGATCTGCAAAACCTATGGAGAAGGTTAAGGAAATCATAAATTAAACCGTGGGAGTGCAAGAAATTCCTATTTGTATGGGTAATGAAATTCAAGGTCTAAACATAACTTTTCAAGTGTGATTATCTGTAGTTAATACTACCCAGAATTTCCGTAACAAGCTTCATATGCTTCAAGCACCTGGTTTTAGACGACAGGAGATTAATGCTGCTAGTTCCATAAATGCACCATTCTGTGAGAGGTGAGTTACCAGCAAGGAATCTGGCTGGGAAAATGGGCAGCAATGTAAAATAATGTGAAAAGAAATCTCGAGTGCTAATTGATATCTCCCACAGAGAAGACATCACTGACTGGAGCCCTTTTAGCTCACCTCGAGGAAATTATTCTCGCCCAGAATTAAGATGGCACAGATGTAGCTGAATGGAACTGTAGAAGTTAGTGCTTCTGTTAATGAACCTATCCGGCGGCAAGGAGCTGGAATGGCAAGTCCTCTCCTGCAATTTGGCAATTCGGTTCAGATTAACTTGTGGAAATTGGCAAGTGCCTTTTGCTTTCTTAAAGCACGGGAAGAAACATTTGTATTTTAGACTGGATCAGAGCCGTCCTTTGTGGCGTTTGTACCACTCACTCCCTGACTTGCGACTAAGACAGCCTCTACAAGGGCACCTAATGATTACAGCATCGCGTGTGAGCACTGTGCGCTCCACACCTGTGTTCAGTCTAGCATGTCTTTATAATGTATAAACTTCTGAAAGTTTTTATACATTCTAAAACAAGGCCAGCAATTCGGATACCAGTGAGGTTGTCGAGGCCATGGCCAGGACCCTGTGGTGATCCTGGTGTACAAGCTCTCTGAGAGAATATTAAGAAGAACCCGTTAAATGCTTGGCCTGATTACTGCTGGAGTTATGGGAACTGTTGCATTGATTTCTATTGCCACAATGACGAGACCAGGGCTTCATAAGGAATTCAGACCGCTGAGTTCGTTAGGGACGGCAGAACTTTGGACTCAACAAAATAAAACAGATAGTGAGACAGTCAATGAGATAGCTGATTTGAGACGAGCTGTTATATTGTAGGGAGATCAGTTAGGAAGATGGAGGGAACAGATAAAAATCAGAATGTTGTCGGAAAGTTGCATCCTATTGTATTTAAGGCTCAATAATTACAAGTATGACGGGGGAAATTAAGATGCATTTGATGGGTCACCCTAATTCTTCTCAAAAGACTTATGATTTACAGCAAGAAATTAAGGAAACGCTCTCAAAAAGGTCACCTGATACAACAGGAATGGCTGTCGTAGAAAGCCTTGCAGGTGCGTTAGCCTCCTTCAACCCTGCACAGCACTTTAGTAGATTTCTCGTTTAGGTGATTGCTCTTCTTGTTCTAGCAGCAATCACTTTATTGGCTTTAAAATGCAGCTTGCCTTATTTGCATAAGGCTGTGAAACAAAGCAATAGAGAAAAGGCAGTGTTGACTGGAAGGCTGAACAATCATCCACGGAATTATAGCTTAAACAGAAGTGGGAGGTGTAGCAGGGGATCCCGCAGACTGTCTGGCTTGAATTCCGTAGTGTTAGCACCTGAGCTTTGAACTGCCTTTCACGATTGTTCCCTTTTGCTTGAAGTGCTTGATTCCAGAGCCTTTGCTAAACTTAGGTAGGAGAGGACAAGGAAAATGAAGAAGTTTCACGGCTGAGGATTGCTTGGGCAAATGGTTCCTTCAAACAACTCCAGGTAGAAGGTTTTGGTATGTGGAAACTTACTTGCTAAGAGAAGTACATTGTGTAACAATTTAAAAAAAAGAGAAGGTTCTTGTGAAGCAATGGACAGTCAGTTCACCAGAAGCTGATTCACCTTGCTGCTTTGCTAAGCCCAAATTCATCCTGGAGTGACCCTAATGCTTCCACAGACTCACGCAAAACAGAACAGCGACACCCACGCCAGCAATGCAAGCCCTGGCAGTAGAAATGTCTCTAGATCAGCTAGGTCTGGTAGCAAATGCCTATAATCACAGCACATGGAAAACCGGGGAAGGAGGATTACCATGAACTGGAGGCCAGCCTGGGCTGCATAGCAAGACCCTCTCTCAAATGTTCCCTTTTAGGTGCCAAGGGGGAAAATGAGACAAAAACATAAAAATAAAAAAGGTTGCATCTTATTGGAGATGAATTTATTTAAATTGTCTTAATTAATTAAAATGGTCTCAGAGTAATCACCAACAAAGTCAACACCAGGAGGGATTAGCAGGCTCAGGAGACAAGTAGAGAAAAAACAGCCTTCACGGGACAGAGACAAGAGGATCGCTCTGAGTTCTAGGCCAGTCCACTCTACATAGCAAGTTCCAGGCCATTCAGGGCTACATAGTGAGGCCCTGTCTCACACAAAATGAAAAATAGAATCTCTCTCTCTCCCTCTTTTTTTCTTGGGCTTTTTGAGGGGGTAGATGGTTTTAGAAAGGATCTCAGGTGGCCTTGAACTCACATTCTGGCACTGAACTCCCAATCCTCCTGCCTCTACCTCCCAGACGCTGCAGCCGCATGCATGCATCCTACACTTAAATACTCTCCCTTTTCTTCCTTTGTGCTGCTGAAGATGCAGCCCAGAGCCTGCCTGTGAGTGGCAAGTACTTTACCATTGGGTTACATTTGCAGTCTTCCAGAGGAGTTTACCATGAACTGTCAGGAAATGTCTTCACAGCACTGCACAGCCCCGTGAGGTTCTGTCGCTGGGTCTCCATGAGGGTCCTTGGGAGTATTTGGTTGGAGTCTCCGGAGCACTAGGACAGGGATGAGTACAGGGAGTTGATTCTGTTTGGAGTCTCCACTTCAATATTCCACTCCCAGAACACATCTCACCCCTGGGCTCTGCAATCTGGTGGGCAGGACAAGCATAGGACAGTGTGAGGGACAGTACCCCTTTCAAGAGGACCCCTGGGCTGCTCACTCTCTCTCTGTCTGCCTTCCAGGGACTTCCTTTAACACAGTGCCTGATTCTCCTCCATTGACATTCTTCTCAGCTAGAGGTGGTGGTGTGGTGTGTACACTCCTATAATCCCAGTACTCGTGAGGCAGAGGCAGATGGATCTATGAGTCTGAGGCCATCATGGTCAACAGAGTGAGTCCCAGGACATTCAGGGATACACAAAGAAACTCCAAGTTGGAAAAAGAAAGAAAGAAAGGGGGGGAGGGAGGGAAGAAGGGAGGAAGGAAGGAAGGAAGGAAGGAAGGTTCTTCTACAAGTGAAGAATTGGACCTAAAGAGTCATGGGTTGGGCCAGGCGAGGATGGTGCACACCTTTAATCCCAGCACTTGGGAAGCAGAGGCAGGCAGATCTTTGTGAGTTCGAGGACAACCAGGTCTATAAGAGCTAGTTCCAGGAGAGGCTCCAAAGCTACAGAGAAACAAAACAAAACAAAACAGAAAAACAAAACAAAACAAACAAACAAAAAAGATTCATGGGGTTGGGTTTCAATTTTCTCTACTTTTTTATCTGGGTGGAAGGTAGTTGGAGACTGGAACACCCCAACCTATATCTCATCTTACCCATCTGCAAACTGGGTAGGAAGATGAGAATTTGGGGAGGAGCTAGAGACTTAAAGGATCAAAGCAAAACACCTGCACCTGGACTCCGAGCTGGGGACGGAGAAGGTCAGGGTAGAGCCCTCGGGAGAGAGGTGCTTAGAGACACTGGCCCAGTTAATGGCTGCGTAGTTTGATTTGGGGGAAATTTCCAGCTCAGCCCCTGTATGTTAATGCTTCAGTGGGCTACTCTCTGTGTGTCCTGGTGGCTTCCAGGATGCTGTCTGGACATCCAGAGGTCTCAGCAGGGCCTCCTTCATTTCACCCTCCATCAGAAGTGCCAGCATCCCAGAACCCAGCCCTGGGACAAAGCAGGCACAAAGCAGCTCCGAGGAGCCCCAGTTTTAGATTGAGATCTTACGGCTGGGACCAATGACAGAGGTGGATCTGCTTTGGCGAAGTGAAGCGGCCTGGGCCTCTGGGCTGAAGGCCTGAGATGAGAAGGTAAAAGTTGTAGCTTGCTGGGCTGGGCTTGATCCAGCCAGTCTCTAGGAAACCCAACAGAGTCATCTGCAAAGCAGGAATCAGGGTGTCCTGGAGGGGAGGGCAGGGCAAGCCTCTCCAGTCTTGATGTTAAAGATTGCCCCTGTTCCACAAGCCTGGGAGAGGGGAGGGCAGCCGCACCCCATTGAGTGTGGGGTAGGGCAGGAGGAGACTTGCCCGGCCTTGACAGCTTTGCCTCAGGGTCGGGGTCTGTGCCAGGTGTGGGTGGTGGTTGGAAGGTTTGGGCTGAGTCACCAAACTTGGCCCCACCTGCCTTTACTTAAGGTCGCCCCCCCCCCCGCGGCCGGTCCCTCCCCCCACCAGCTCCCTGTCACGCTGTTGCTGTCGGTCTGTGCTCTGGGGCTGAGCTGAGTGGTCTAGATCAGGGTAGGATCACATGAGGAGGTTGGGCTTGGCTGAGGTCTCTCATCAAAATAGAAAGCGGGCATCAGAAGAGCTGGGCATAGCCTATCTCTCTGGTGTCACTGGCTGGTCCTGATGGCCACCTCCCTGCCGGCTTCTCTGTCTTGTAACTTTTTTTTTTTTTTAATACTGTAGCCATTTTCAGGGACCTTAAGGACTTCAGCTGTCCTTAAGGCTCGTAACATGGCATCACTATTGCCCGCCTTGTCTAAATGTCTTGTAACTTTTTAATCTCTGTCCTACATGCCTCTTCTTCTCCGTGTCTCTCTTTTCTTTATGCTGTCCTGTCCCTGGAGTTCCTAGCTGCGACTGATCCACCTCTCGTTCTTTGTCTCCCTGCTTCTCATGCCCTGCCCCACCCAAATCTTACAGACCATCCCCCGTAAGACCTCGGTTCAAAGTTATCTGGGTGATCAACAGGATGAGAATTAAGGTACTATCCCTAACCAGCCTGGCAGGTAATGTTCCAGATCCCAGAGGAGAGGATACAGTGTCTGTGGAATCATCAGAGCCCCATTTTTGTAACCAGACATGGTGTCCCTGGGGTTGCCTCTGACAATTGGTGTCTTCAGCTCCCTATTTCCAACTGAATTTTGTTGTATTCACTGATGTTCCCTCTGACTTCATGAGGAGTCCCCAAGTCTCTCTGGGAATTCGGGGTTCTAAGGCAACCTTTGACTCTCTGGTCAATCCTCAGAACTCCATTGCCAAGCCTCCAGGCATCTGGGAATCTGCAGGAGCTCTGAAGTCAGCCTTGTCACCTAGAGTTTCCTGATACTGTGTGGGAGTGTGTATACCCTGGAAAGACTGCGTTTCCTGGTATTGTCCCAGGTCATCTTGAGACTAGAGATCCTCTAGGCCTCCAGGGCCATCATACCAGGATACCTGGGTCACACCACACTCTGGAAATGAAAGGATCCTTGTATTATATAACTTTTCCAGGGGGAATAGTGGAAAATTTTCTATTCATTCCAGAAAGTGCACTGACAACAGACCAAAGAAACATTTCTGCAAAATTCCAACTTAGTAAATGGATAACTTACAGAGGAATATGGGTGAAGAGTTACTTATTGTATCACAGATTACTCAAAGGCAGCTCCATCACCAAAAAGCACACCCCGTTAAAAATGAAATATGCAGACTATTCTCCCCAGCAACTATTACAGCTTATATTACTTTGAGAGGAACTCTGTGAGTTCTGTAAGTTTTAGAAACTCCCTGAGACTTGGAAGTTGTTAACTCTTGAGCCTTATCAGTTTTGAACTTCCTGAATCTTAAGGAGCCCCCCTCCAAAATGGAATGTTTCAATTCCAAGAAAATGGATATGTAACAATCCACCCCTTTCTCTGCCAACTCTTCTCCCTCTGGGCCTTGGATGGAGTCATGTGGTTGTCTGATTTTTTTCCCCTTCATTTATGTCTAAGTCTTGGGCTGTTATGCCACAGCAACAGTCAGTCTCAGGATACTGACCAGTTATGAATCTCTGTAGGATACCTCACACTGCAAAAATGGAATTTTCTTCCACGACAAGTCAAGGCTGGCTGATTCAGAGCCACAAGAATAAAGGTTCTGAACAATGAGGTGTTGAGTAGGAGAACCAGGAATGAAATAGAAAGAGCAAGAAATAAGACAAAAGTAGTAGCTGGGACCTAGAGGTCTTGCATAAGCTGATGACCTATGCCAATCAAGTTTATTAAGAAACACAGCAGCCTATATGCTTTTTGCAAGGGGAGAATGGCCAAGGTCAGCAGAGAGCTAAATCAGACGACACTGAAAAAGAGAGCACAGGACGTCTCAAACAGGGCTGCCTTAGGACTGATAACCACAGCCCAAGGGAAAGAGTTCTGTCCTTGGAAGTCACTCTTTAAAGGCCAGGCTCCAGTCCTAGACCAGCCAAGCCAAGTGCACTCCTGGACAAGGACACAAAGCTAAAGTTTCCTTTGTCCTTTCATCAAGGCCTCTGAGGAAGTCTCGGCTTGGTTTGATTTCCCACTGCTGACAGCTACAGTATCTGTGAGTGTAAGCAGAAACGTTTAGAAGTAATTTGACAGACTTATCACATATTTAAACAAAATGATGGTGAATTACACACTGGAGCCTAGACCTCCACAGGTGCAGGCTTCTGCTCTAGCTCACAGTATCAGATGGGAGTTCCTTCCTGTGGAGTGAGCCTTAAACCCAGCTGGAGAGCAGTTGGTTGCACTCCTAACGCTTGTGCCACTATTGTATTTGGGGGCAGCTTGCCTTGCAAGCTGATACTTTAGCATATTGTTGATACTTTAGCACATTGTAGGGCAGGATTGCTGGTGGAAATTCTTTCACAGCAGCCTGAATGATATAATCTAACACTATGAAAACCAGCTAACAACCAAGTGTGGTGGGTGGTGCACACCTTAATCCCAGCATTTGAAAGGCAGTGGGAGATCTCTGTGAGTTCAAGGTCAGCCCAGTCTACAGAGTGAGTTCCAGGATGGCAAAGGGTATTACACAGAGAAACACTATCTTTTTAAAATTTATTTATTATGTATATAGTGTTCTGGGCACCAGATCTCATTATAGATTATAGTGTGGTTGCTGGGAATTGAACTCAGGGCCTCCAGAACAGCAGTCAGTTCTCTTAACCTCTGAGCCATCTCTCCAGCCCGAGAAACCCTGTCTTGAAAAACAAAAAGAAAGAAAGAGAAAGGAAGGAAGGACGGAAGGAGGGAAGGAAGAGAGGGAGGAGGGAGAGAGAGAGAGAGAAAGAGAGAGAGAGAGAGAGAGAGAGAGAAAGAGAGAACCAACAAGCAGGGAGAGAGTTTCCAGTTCAGTCCCAGCCTGATTTCTCAATATCCTTCAGACCCAGTGTGTGGTGTCTTCAGCAACAGGAATTTGCCATCTAGTTCTGGCATGTAAGTGACATTAGTATCAATGGTCTTAATGGTTTGTGGGTCTTCTGGGGCCTCTCTGGTGGTTTGAATAAAAATGAGCCCCATGGACTCTTATATTTGAATACTTAGTCACCAGTGAATGGCACTATTTGGAAGGATTTGAAGAATTAAGAAAGTGTGGCTTTGTTGGAGAAAGTGTGTCCCTGGGGGCAGGCTTTGGGGTTTCCGAATGTAGTTCCCAGCTACTAGCCCAGCACTTTCCTGCTTGCGACACGCTTCCCACCGTGCCGAGAACAGATGAAAATTTGAAACTGTAAGCAAGCTTCCAATGAAATGCTTTCTCTCATAATAGTTGCCTTGGTCATGGTATCTCTTTCCAGCAGGAGAGTGACGGAGACCGCCTCATAGGGAGGTAGCTCACCTCCAGTACTGGAATTTTTACCCAGCAACCTCAGGGCTCCTAGAAGTTCCTGCCCAATTCTGCAGGATTAAACCCCTTAATTGTTGTCTCACAACCCCATAGAGTCCTTTTATAAACCTGCAAAACATTCTAGTTCGGCCATGATGATAATGGACTGAGCCTCTGAACTGTAAGAGAGCCACCACAATTAAATGTTTCCTTGATAAGAGTTGTCGTGGTCATGGTGTCTCTTCACAGTAAGAGTAAACTCTAACTAAGACACATAGATACACACACACCACACATACATACTCATAGACACATGCACATGTACATACACATACACATGCACACACACTCATACACACACCTCTATACCAGGTGAGTGTGCCTGTAATTCCAGCACTTGAGAGTGAGGAGGATTGTTGAAACCCCTAAGTATGTCTTGGCTGCTTAGCAAGTTCTAGGCCTGGGCTACATAGATGACCCTGTCTCAAATAAGGAGGAGGAAGACAGGAAGGGAAGAAGGAGTGGAGGGTGGATGAAAATTGAATATAAAGAGGGTTGAGAGAGATGTTAGATGTTTTTCCTTTGTGAGTGAGTGTGTGTGTGTAATTTATTTATGATGTTAGGTGTTGGTGCATGGGAAGAATGACAGCTGGGAGGCGAATGCAGGACCGGATGAGTGAATAGATGGGATAAGCCGCTGGGTGCGTGGAGCTAGGTGGACAGGCTGGGAATGGAGCTAGGTGGACAGGTTGGGAATGAAAGCTTGGCCATTTAGAAAGTTAGAAAGGTGAGTAGGTAGGTATGTGTCTGGATGGATGGGTGGGTAGGTGGATGGGTGGGTGAGTGGGTGGGTAGATGGATGAATGGATGGGTGGGAGGGTGGATGGGTGGATGAGTGGGTGGGTGGGTGGATGGGCGGGTGAGTGGGTGGGTAGATGGGCGGGTGAGTGGGTAGGTAGATGGATGGATGGATGGATGGGTGGGAGGGTGGATCGATGGGTGGATGGGTGGATCGATGGGGGGATGGGTGGGTGAGTGGGTGGGTAGATGGATGGATGGATGGGTGGGAAGGTGGATGGGTGGGTGGATGGGTGAATGGGTGGTTAGGTGGGTGGATGGGCCAGTGAGTGGATGGATGGGCGGGTGATTGGATGGGTGGGTGGATGGGAGGGTAGATGAATCAGTGGGTGGGTGAGTGGGTGGGTGAGTGGGTGGGTGGGTGAGTGGGTAGGTGAGTGGGTGGGCAGGTGAGTGGGTGGATGGATTGGTGGGAGGGTGGTTGGACTTATGGTTTGCCTCATGAATGGAGAGAGAATGATGGGCGTTCAGACGGTGCCCTACTTTTATCTCTGCTGTTATGATAAAATACCCTGACAAAAGCAACTCAGGACGGGAGGATTTCTCAGCTCACAGGTCCAGGTTGTGAAAGGGAGACAGGAACTCCGTCTTGAGGCAGCTGGTCACATCCATGGTCAAGAGCAGAGCAACATTAAAAGCTTGTGCTCACTCCTTCCCCACACAAGGTCCAGGATTCCTGCCTAGGGAAGGGTGGGTACTGCCTACAGTGGGCTACCACAATTAACATAATCAAGATCATCCCACAGACGAGTCCACAGGCCTCCTGACTGAGACAACCCTACGGAGACTCCCTTTGCAGGTTATGGTAGACGGGTCAGGTGGACAATGAAACCATCACACGCTAGCTGGGGTGGCACCAGCATTGACACAGCACTCAGGAGAGAGGTAGACGTTTTTGAGTTTGAGGCCAGTCTGATACATGTAGAGAGTTTCATGTTGGGGCTACAAAGTGCCAATCCCAAAAAAATTGTAAGATCTAAGCATCACAGGTGGGTAAGTGGGTAGATGGGAAGCCAGACCATATTCCTAGTTCTCCCTCCTTCCCCTTCTCTCCCCTCTTTCTCCTTTTCACCTTCCTTTTCTCTTCCTCTCTCTATTCTGAGA